CTCCTCCTCTCAGAGCCAGTACAAGGTGGAGGACTGAACCACCTAGGATCTTGTAATCAGCTGCTGTCTTCTCATCATTCATCTGTTCGCCACTGTAGATGAGTTGTTGTTGCTGTGGGGGGATTCCCTCTTTTTCCTCCACAAGCTCCTTGATTCGCTCCACCTTGTCTGTGGGTTCAATGTCAATTTCAATCTTCGTTCCAGTCAGCGTCTTCACTTTAATTAGCATCTTCTTCCCAGTTCAGGCCTGCGCACCGATAAACTCCCGCCTGTATTGCTGCGAGAAATAAATTCTTGAGGTCATTAGATATTGTTTATGCTCATTTTCATTGTCGTTGTTAAATCAAATTCTTAATGACGCTGCCAACTGCTCATCCTTTCCTCACAAAGTCATTGGTGGATTTGGAACACTGGAGACATGTAGCCTTTTGCTCAGCAGAATAATACACAAACAGAAAGACAAATTCTTTCTAGATTTTAGGCCTTCTTTTTTCAAATTCATGGTTCTTACCTCTGATAATACTTACACTTATTATCTATAAGTTTATTTGACTCGTAGCATCCTTCCATTGAATATCTGTGGTTGTAACTCTATGCAGGATACTACTTCTCTTTCTCTTTGAGAAAGTCTGGTAGAGTCTAACTTCTGACTTCAAGCTTGAAACTGTATATACTAAACAACAAAGAGTTATAATTAGCAATTAGAGAGAAGCAAAACCAAACAAGAAGATATTGACATAGTTCAATTAGACTGAAGTCAACAAATGCTGGTAAGGGTATAGAGAGACTCGGAAAAATAGTATGATATTTCCTTAAAAAGTTATAAATAGAAACACCATGTGATCCAAGAATCAAACCTAATGTATACATAATGTATGATAGTTTTCTTTGTATATTTGAACAAATATTTTCTCATTCTGTTAGTTTTGCTTGAAAATTATGCATGTGATATATGTAAAAGTGTTTCAAATTCCACATATCATTTATCATTTTTATTGTGTTAAAAAATACAAGAAATAATAAAAAATAATTAAATGTTATTTAAACATTTTCTATGAAAAATAGTTATTGATTCAAAGAAATGCATATCTTTATTTGTGCATTGCCCAAAGCTGTTTCATTATGTTCACAAAAAAAGATTTTCATAGAATTCTATTGAACATCAAAATACATATCTAATTTTGCTTGTTTAAAAGGGAAAATAGAAGTGCTTTTATAACCTAAGGGAGCAGGTGTGTAGCAGGAAAAATTAGATATTGATATTTCAAACTAAGACTAAAAATGATTTATTTATACTATTACTACTCTCTAAGGAACTAGTTATGCAAATACTTATTGAAAAGAAAAAAGTCAGGTTTCTTTGTGCAAATATGCTTTAGAAAGTATATTATTAGTTGCTATTTGTTGATTGTAATGAAATAACCTTATGAAGAACATTTCAAGAGAAAAAAATATGCAGACATAAAGTTTTCTCTAAATTATAAGCTATCAATCCTGGTAACGTACTTGATGAAACCACCATCCAGCTGCCAGTTGAGGCTAGCATGTTGCTATTTATTGTAAAAGTTTCAGAGAAATGTATAGAATAAAATAAACTAGTCAAAAAGGCCTCATGATCTAATTAAAAAAATTAAATAATGAAAAAATTAGAATCACAATATTCCTATTCATAATGCACCACGAGGAAAGTGCATGACAGTCAAGGTAACAAAATGGCAGGCATCAGCACTAACAATGCCATTTTCTGATTGGTCACTATTTCCATTTGTTTTTATTGTCCAGTTGTTGTTGTCCAGTGTAAATAGACTCTTAGCTGACTCTCCAGTGAGTTTTCAGAAGCTACAAACTTCATAAAGGAGATTGTACAGTTTTCTCCTACCGAGCTGCTAGTGAATTTGAACTGAGTGCCTTTGAATTGGCCGATAACTCCTTATCGCTAGGTCACCAGAACTCCTTATTACCTATATTCAGAAAAAAAAAATTAAATTTGTGAAAATAAGTTTTATGAAAACATGTCTGACCTATTTTTCTGTCCACTCTGACATTGCCGGGAAGGTGTAATTAATCCTACATACTTACAATAGTGCTTCTAATTATAATAATTAGAATGAGTCTTAATCCAAGGATAGTGACATAATGAAAAGATAGATTAAAGAAGATTGAACTAGAAAATATAAAAACTATGTACCTTTTAACCATAAAACACCCTCTATCTGCTATAGATTGCTAAAATGTAAATCTTTTAATTATTTACATCATGTCAGTTAATAATTTGCGTACTTTATAGGGAACTATGATGGCCTACTAGCAAGAAGCTGTGTTTGCGATCCCAAAGGTGTGTGGTTTGAATCCACCAGATGCTCCACTGGATGCAGCAATGCTCTGACGGGCAATCCCCTCCCTCTGCCTTTAACTGCCTCCAAAATTCATGTGACGATCAACTACGGGTCAGATCTGACTAGATGGTACACAAGAACAAGCACATACTTTAAACAGATCATTTCATTTAGTCATTAGAGAAATGCCACAAAATTCCAAGAGTTTGTACTGATATTGCAATTCTGATAGCAATTTTCAGTACTTTTTTCTGCCAAACAGTAGTAAGAAAATGTAGATAATTGATTGAAAAAATATTTGTTTTCTCCTTTGTATCTCAATTTACTTACTTATGGATTTCTCATTATATTATTGGTGTAACTTCAATTCCAGAAGTACTGATATTTTTTACAAGATCATCTCATCTATGAATTTTGATGTTCTCATTTTATCCTTTAAGGATGAGCTTGTGGAAAGTGGTTCTAACTCTGAATTAAGGCAATAATACCAACTCATTTATAAAATATAGTGCTTTGATTTTTTTTGTTTGTTTGTTTTTATGACAGATGAGAGAGAAAGATTGGCCATCCATTTCTGAAATAATGGGCCTTTGAAAACCCCATGTATAAGAAAACACACTTAGGATAGACTAGCAAATACTGCACCATAGGCTGAGCCTTTGTGTTGAGAATCACAAAGAAGGATGAATAGTTGCAAACAGACACTAAAAATAAGAATGTTGAAGATGAGAAGTATGAATGTAAGAAAACTGGAGTTTCTTAAGGAATAAATGGAAGGCATAAATAATGACATATTAGAGATTTGGTGAAATGAAATAGATTAACAAGGGAAATTTTGAATCAGACAATAATATCATCTATTAATCTGGAAATGAAAGATGAGGAAAAAATGGGTTTGCTTTCACAGTTAAAAAAACTTTCAAGATTCATCTTTAAATACAATCTTGGTGAGTGATAGGATAATATCCATATACATACAAGTCAGACCTGTTAATACCACTAACACTCAAATTTATGCACCAACAATTAGAGTAAAAAAGAAAGAAATAGATAACTTCTACCAATCTTTGCAGTCAGAAATCAACTGAACATAAAACCAAAGTACACTGATAATAATGAGGGATGGGATTGCAAAAGTTGGTAACAAGGAAGAAGGGTCAGCAGTCAGGAAGCATGACTTGGTGACAGAAATGAAACTAGAGACAGAATAATAGAGAATTCTGTACAATCAGTGATCTATTCATCACAAATACCTTTTATAAGAAATACAAATGACAGCTATACACATGACATTACCTGAAGGTCTACACAGGAATCAGATTGACTACATATGTGGGAACATTGTTGGAGAAGCTCAATATCAACTGTGAAAACTAGGCTAGGTGTTGATTGTGGATCAGGAAATCAACTACTTGTATCTGAGGTCAAACTGAAGCTAAAGAAAATCAAATCCAATCCACAACAACCTAAGTTTGATCTTGAATCTATCCCTCCTGAATTTAAAGACCATCTCAGGAACAGGTTTAAGGCCTTAAATACTAATTAGTGAAGACCAAATGAGCTATGGAAGGATATAAAAAAATATCTCCATGAAAACTATAAAAGGTCATTGCAAAGACAGAGGAGAAGGAAAGGCCAAAATGTCTATTGGAGGAGACTCAGCATTTCACTACAGCAGGAAGAAGCTAAAGCAAAAGGAAGAAATCAAGAATTTAAGGAGCCGAACAGAAGGTTTCAAATGGTAGCATGGGAAGACAAAGTATTATAATGAAATGTTCAGAGTTTGAATTGGAAATTCAAAAAGAATGAATTATCTCAGCATTTCTATAGCTGAAGGAAATGAAGAACCCATTCAAAATTTGAATTGCAATACTTAAGTATGCTATGGGCAAAACGTTGAATGTCCCAGGATGCATCAGAAAAAGATGGAAGGAGTATACAGAATCACTATACAAAAAAAGAAAAAAGAAAAGGCTGACACAGAATAATTTCATGAAATAACATGTGATGAATGAAGGGCCTGTGATGATGAAGGAGGAAGTTCATGCTGCTCTGAAGGAACTGGCAAAAAACAAGGCCCAGGAACTGATGGCATAACAAACAACATATTTGAAGAAATAGACACTTTCCTGGATGTGTTTACTAAGTTGTACCAAGAAATCTGGAGGACAAACACCTGGTAGAGATCCATAATTGTTTCCATTCCAAAAACTGGTGACCTGACATATTGTGGAAATTATCAAACATTTAAATATCATTAATATCATATGCAAGTAAGATCACATGGAAAAGTATTCAAAAACAACTGAAACAGCATATTGACAGAGAACTGCCAGATGTGTAGGCTGAGTTTAGAAGAGACAGTGGTACTAGGGGTATTATATCTTGACTGTGTGTATTACAGCAAATTATAGTTAACTCTGCGAAGAATGAGAATTCCAGAATACTTAATTGTGCTTATGTGAAATCTATACTTAGCTCAGGTTGCAGTTATTAGAATAAAGCAAGAAAAACACTACATGTTTCAAAATTAGGAAAGGTGTTTGGCAGTGATGCATCCTATCTCCATACATTTTTAATCTATATGTAGAACAGATAATCCAGGAGAATGGGCTTTAGGAGGAATAATGTGGCATAAAGATTGGAGGAATATTTACAGCAGCCTTATTATGCAGATCACATAATCTTGCTTGCCAAAACTGAGAAGGACCTGAGGCATTGGCTGCAGAAGGTCAAGGATTGCAGTAACCAATATGGATTAAAGCTCAACATCAAGAAAACAAAGAATCTCACCACTTGGCCAATTAGCAGCATCTTAATAGACAGTGAAGAGATTGAGATTGTTAACAGCTTCAGCTTGCTTGGTTCGACTATCAACACATTTGGTATCACC